CACAGCACAGGGCAAGTTTGGGGAAGGGTCATCTGATGGGGTGGAGAGATTCTGCTTTGTAATTTGAGTTTGGGTTGCACAGGGAACATGTGTCAAAATTCATGTGTACATGTTATTGTATGTCATTTATCCTCAATCTAGTTTAGTTAAAAGTAAAAACTGTACTCATTCAAAGTAGAATAACCTAAAAAAGTTGGTTTCAATCCCCCTTTTTTCAAATGCATTTCTTGGGAAGAAGATAGGTCAAGGAGATGTTCCACACAAGACATGAACACAGGTTAGAGCAAGGTTGCAGTGGCCCGCCTCCACCCAGGTGCCCAGAGGCTCCTGAGCTCATCCATTCCACAATGCTGCTTTCAGGCAGCCGCCTCTGACCACAGGGTCCTGAGCCTGCCTCCTGCTTTCTTCGTGCCTGTGTCTGTCTGGTACTCAGTGAGCAGTAAGTTTCCAGCAGGACCTTTTACCTGCTTTTGAGATGCTGCTGCAGTTGTGTTCGATAATACTTAAAGCAAATGAATCGTGGTGTTCTCATCAACAGTTGCTAATAATTGGTAAGCAATGCAGAAATTCTCCCACATGAGCAGTAGCTCAAGACACCACTGCCATGCTCACCTTGTCCTGCAGAACTGGTTATCTTTCTTGCAGAACTGCCAGGCACTGTGAGGTCAGGCCTGCCTCCAACTGCTGTCCTCAACTTTATTTACCATATCTGCAAAATTGTTGCAGGCAGTATGAGCCTAAGTTTTCAAAAGTGAGTAGAAAAGGGCCATAAGGCACACAACATGGAGGGGTAAGTTTGGGCCAATTCTGTCTGTTTTTACTTTTACGTATTTGTCAGTTTTCCTAGAATGTGTTTCCATGATTATCAGAGAATGCAGCTGTGAGGTTATGCTCCTAACACTGCTGTGTTCATCCGTTGTGCCCGAGGGAGACACAGGCATGAACACGGTACGCCATTCCTGTCAATGGGGCATCTTGTGTCCTCATTTTTATTCCTTTCCAGCAACTCTGTAAAAAGTCAGTGAGGAGTACCCAGTCCCACCGCCTGTGTAGACAGGTGGGCCCTTAGCAAAGCTAGTGTGCATGCAGAGCAAGTGATAAATCTGGAGGTGAGCCAGTGCCATTCTTAAGGGTGCCCAAAGGTAAATATTTACTGGATGTCAGGTCCTACGATAGCAGGGAATGAGTATCAGTCAAATTTAGCTTAGGCCTCAAAGGTTCCATTGTGGTCTCTTTTGCTACTGAGCTGTTGGCCATAAAATTAATAATTCAAATAAAGAACATGATGAGGGTGACCCCGCCCCCTCTGGCTCCAGGACTCCGGTCCTGCTTCCCATCAGTGTAAGGTGACAGTGCTTCCTTCTCATGGAGCCCCACAGTGGCTCAAGGTCAGTGAGTTGTCCCACACTGGTGAGAGGCATTCCTTATAAACTCTGGAGCATGGATGCAAAGATGGGGAGAGGAGGAGAAGAAGGGGGCTTGGAGGACAGGAAATATGAGAAATAAACCCCTTCACTTATGTGGGTTGTTCTAGTGGTGTGCAATTGTGTGAGTTCTAGCACCCTCTGGGGACACTGTGGGGTGGCCCCTCTTCTCTCCTCCACACAACTCCCCAAGGGCCATTAGCCTCCCAGGAGGCTCAGGGGTGTTGTTTGGGATAGGTAAGGCTGGATGCCAAGGATGCTTCAGGTGGGGAGGGGCTGCCATAAATTTCATCACAGTCTTAGAATCAGTTGATACCAATGAAGTCTCGATGTTCTAACACATAGTGAACATTTCTTAGCTTAATTCTTACAGACAATCAGATGTGGCTGGTGTAATTCACAGGACTCCTCCAAGCCTCAGGAAAGACCCTGGTGTCTGCCCAGGGCACTCCTACCTGCAGAAAGATCCAGAGGCAACAGCCTCTCAACAGTGTGGTCCAGGGAACACAGAACTCCTGATTGGCATTCTTGTTTTCCATGGTTGCTTTAACAAATGAGTACAAACTTGATGACTTAAAAAAACAAAAACATCCTCACATGGTGTTGGTGACCAGAGGAGCCAAACCAAGGTGTCTGTCGGCAGGGCCACCGTCACTCTGAAGGCTCAGGGACAGAATCCTTCGTCACTCTCCTTGTGTCATGTGGCTTATGACTGCACCCCTCCCATCTCTGCCTGCGTTCTCCTGTGGCTTCTTCCTCTCTCCTCTTTGTCTCCCTCCCTCCCCTGGTAAAGACAGATGTGAGCGCATGGAGGGCTCCTGCCGATGGTCCAGCACCAGCCTGTCTCTGGAGCTGTAATGCAATCACATCTGCACACTTTGCCAACCAAGGCAGGGTGTGGAGGTTCCAGGGATCAGGACCTGATCTCTCAGTCCTCAGATGGCTGTGCTTCAACCTCCGCCTGAATTGGGGGAGTTCAACTTAAAAAGTCATCATCATTGGTGTACTTTGTCATCCTTTCTTGATTCTTTAGGATGGAAAGACACTAAAATGTCTCAGTTCACATGTGCTGGGTGACTTCAGTCTTCCTGAAAACACACATTTTCAGCAGTAATTACTCTCTTCAGCAATCCTTATTTTCACCAATAAAACCCATTTGCTATCTTATGAATGATAATTATCACAGCACAGGAGCTGAAAGAATGCTCAACAGAAAGTCTGATGGGCCCCTGTAGTGTGCAACACTTTCTGACTGGATGCAAGGTGGACAGATCCAATTTCTCCTTCATAATTATTGTCACAGGCCACTGTGTCTGGAATTTTTGTTTTTGCACCTTGCTCTGGCCATATCTTCCTAATACAGTGCTCTATTTCTTTCAAAAATCTGCAAGTTGTGGGGGACATGGGGGGTCTGGGCAGGGGTCTGTCTGATGCCCCATGTGGGCAGCACCCTGGGGGCTTCCACACAATGGTCATGGTGAGGGAGCCCAGCCTGATCCTTTCTCTCCACTTGGGTCTCAGTGTCTGTTTGGGCTTCCTCACCAGATGTGGTGGGGTCCAAGGATGAGCATCCAGAGAGGTAGGCACAATTTAGGGTCTACTGCAAGGAGTCCCACAGCTTATATCCACACCTGCCTGGGAGACCCTCCCATGTGTGGGCCTTCCAGCGCCAATGGGATGAGACACAGCCTGTCCTCTGGTCACAGAGTGCTTACATACTCCCATTTGCAGACTGCTCACTGACCCCCAGCATCCCCAGCCTCAGGCCCAGGACAAGGGCTAAAAGTTTCCTCAACAGAACCAAGTCCCATGAAGATGAGGCACCGGGCATGCATGTTCCATGAGCAGCCCTTCAGGGGCAGTTCTTCACCTGGACACTGTGAGTAGAGAGCCCCAAGCCTCTCACATGTCATAGGACATTGGTCAGGATGACCACAGTGGACATCCCCACCTACAGAGGTGGATGATGGGAGTTAAGCCTCATTTCCTGAGAGTCTTGTCCTGTGGGTCTCCACCCTGGCCCTGTCCCCTCCTCTCTCATCACAAGTGTCCTGCATTTGCAGCTCAGGGGTTTTATTCCACAGCTGCCATCCAAAGGCCTGACTGTTTTGTGGTCTAGCACCTTTCTAGAAGATGGCATAATTCCTTTTGAACTTTTGTTTTGAGAATGTTTTATGCATCAACTTTCATCCACTCCATGGGACACAGGTCCTCCATCCCACCCTCTTCTAGGAGGACCTCTGACTGTGTCCTGAGGATTCCAGAAGAATCCCAGGATTTAGTGGGAGGAGCTGTGGAGACAGGAGCTTAGGAGATGTCTGTCTACCCCAAGGGTAATAGGAAGTCGGCCTCATATCTTTCTGAATGTCTAACAAAGAAACATGAGCCCACCACGACTTGACACTGACCTGGGGTCCATCTCCTGATTGGGTTTCACTGCTCTTGATGGAGGCTGGAATGGGAGGCAAGTTTATTTTTGGCCACAGTCCTCGGTCTCTGATGGAGGTCAGCTCCTTCTCTACCTCCTCCTGCCCCCAGGTTCCACGTCTCTGGGTTAGGAAAATTCATATTCCATTCATTCAGGTGCCACCGTTTGCCAAAGAGGGAGTGTGATGCTTCAGGGATGAACTGAACCTGAGGGCTTTGTGACAACTTGTCACCTGAGTTCAGAGACAAACCTGGTGAGGGTTGTGAGACCTGTGTGGCTTAAGACATGCAGGGTGTGCATGGGCGTCCATGATGGGGCTGCAGCAGTCATGTCCACGCAGGGTGAGCTGTGAGTCTGAGGGATTCATATCTACGTGAACATCTGTGCTCAGGGTTGTGGGAGTCCCGTCCTCTGGGGTGTCCATGGCCAGGGCTCAGGGGTCCATACCCTTTTCACTCGTGGTGGGCCAAGACTCTAGAATAATGACAGCTCAGGAAGCTTCTCTGCAGAACCTAAGGTGGGAATATCTGAATGTCCTCTGGCCTGGAGCTCAGTTTATGACCCACTGTTGGTTGGAGCAAGTGGGATGTCAGTCTGGGAATGTGGCCATGGGTGGGCTCAAGCATCTCCCCAACATGAGCTCCTGGAGAGTGGCCCCTTCCCACTCCTGGGCTCCTCATTTGCTGCTACCACTAGGTGACAGCAGGGCCATTGACAATGGACAGTAAGACAGACTTGGAGTCTGGCTGCACTAGAACGCTGCCATTATTGTTAATTTGTGGTATATCTTGCACCGAAACTCTCCTGGTATTTCGAGCTGGCTTGGCCTCTCTGCTCCCATGGTCTTCACAGCTCAGCCCTGTGTCATGGCAGTGACATTCCTTGCTAGTGCAGGTCTGCCTTTTCAGCTTTTTCCCTTCTCTGCAATATGTTGTTAAAAAAGTAGAAAATCTTTTAAATTCAAGTAAGAGAGTACTTGATTTCTCTTTGTGGATCCGAGCAGTGAGTGTTCACACTCACTTTTATCCATGGAACTGGGTCTAATCTGAATTTTGGGGACAGGCTGGTTCAGTGCTGAGGACCCTTCCTGGGCACAGTGTCCATGTCTGGCAGGTCTGTGGCCACTGACTCTCCTTTGTTTTGTACAGGCTCCACCGTCGCCTTCCTCACCCATAGCTAATGAACCAAAGTACGAGAAGCGCTGGCTAGACACCTTGTCAGTCCCTCTGTCCATGGCTCGGATCGCCAGGCACAAAGCTGGAACGGAAAAACTCAGGTGTGTGAGCATCTTGGGAAGTGGGGAAGGCTGGTGCTTCTGCATTTGTGCCAGGTCCATGGTCCCTTGGATGCTTCCTCTCTGACACTGTCCTGAGCAGGTGCATGCCCTGTCACTGGCAGAGCTGAGCTTTGGGGGGAAAGTTGAGGACCAGGGCAAAGGGAGCCTAGAGCAGTCAGGAGCCTCTGAGTTCTTTCTTGTGGCAATGTGGCAGTCATCAGAGCTCATGAAACAGTGTTTAGAAGAAATTCTATCCTCAGCTTCAAATGTTAACAGAACTATATTACACATAAACACTGCATTCTTCAAATGGCAAATGATTGCAGAAAGGCCACTGAAACTCACAGGCCTTGTTTTCTTTAATAAAGCGTGAGGCTTAGTTCAGCACTTGTGCAAAATAAATGCTGCTTGCTTGTGAGCCTTGTTAATGAAGTCATTTGAGGTGCATCTGTGCAGGGTGCTGATTCTGTATAAGCTGTGTAGGGCCAGGCACTGTCTGACCCATGGATGGCCAAGAGGAGCGAGAGGCCAGGGCTTGTTTTTTCTCAGTCTTAAGACACATTGGGGGTCAGTGACCCACTCATAGCTTCAGTGACAAAGGAAAAGTGTTTTGATGTTTGTCAGTTGATCCCTCAGAAGATGTGTGTGGTTGTCTCATGGTGGTTGGTGTGGTGTTAGGCTATGTGTGGTTGTTGTGAGGGCTGTGTTTGTACATGTGTGTATGCTTGTGTTGTGTGCTTTTGTTGTGTGGTTGTGGCGTGTGGCGTGTGTGGCGTGTGTGGTTGTGGTGTGGGGTATATGGTTGTGGTACGTGGTTGTGTATGTGTGTGATGTGTAGTTGTGATGTGTGGTGTGGTGTGTGTTTGCATGAGTGCGGTTACGGTGTGGTGTGGTGTATGGTTATGTTGTGTATGGTTGTGTTGTGTGGTGTGTGTTTGTTGCATGTGTGTGTGACTTTCTTATGGTTTGTTCCTTCGGTGGGATTTTCATTTAAAACCCAAATTGGGATTTGGGCACGTCTGCCTCGAAAAGGAACTGAGCTGCTGTCTGATGTCTGTCTGCGTTTGAGTTAAGTGGTTCCCCGGACAAACAGATGCCCTGAACTTTGCTGGAGCAGGTGGCCCCACCTGGTGGGACGTGTGGAGAGAGGACATGGTTCACATCTCCAGTTCCACCTAGAGCACGGGACACAGCAGAAAGAGGACTGAGGACAGGGCGAGGCCTCTCACACCTAAAACGCAGGGCAGGTTTCGGGCTGCTTGAGAAACTTAGAGACACACAGTATGCTTGGCAGCAAATGTTTCTGACCCAGGAAGCCATGCATTCCCCCACCCTGTGTTTACCCAGCAAGATGGAAAGCAGAACGCCCGTCCCTGCCCCTCGCTCTACCAGGAAAGCCGGCCGCCCCAACCCCAGCAGTGAATGGAAAGCCTTCCCTTGTCCGCGGGAGGACGACATGCTGTTTCCTGCAGGCAGAGATGCTGTATGAGCTTTGCTGCCGTTTTTTCATGACTTTAAGCAAGGAGGCACGAAAGCAAAACGCCTCAGGACTCAAACTCGTAATAAACAGTTAGTCCTGACCCACATCCCTGTTGAAGTCCCGGACAGAGTGAGGACATGCTGTCGGTGCCGTCGTCCTATAACCCTCTATGGTCGCACTTCGAGGTGAAGAAAGAGGGCCGGGCATGAGTTGAACCCCAAGACCCTAGGACGCTTTCTCCCGAGGGGTCCTCAGCCTGGGAGGTGGGAAGAATTAACTCAGAATTTGCCAATTCTAGGTGAAACAGTTTTAAAATCTTAAAACAAAAGCTGCAATACAAACCCTGGGGTAAACATGAATAGATTAGAAGTTAGGTCTGGTCTGTCTTTCCGTAGTCATAGGGCGCCGGGTTTACAAGCACCGCTTCCTGCTCCTTTTATTGTTGATTGACAAATACTAAGCATACTAAATGTAAATTTTTTTAATACAGTGTGGCTTTTGATATTATTTACCTTGTTAAATAATTAAATCAAGCTAATTAAAGCATCCACCAGCCCCGTGCTTGTTTTTTTTATAGTGAGAACGTTAAATCTACTCAGCACTTTTGAAATGCGCAGTACATTATTTCCGGCTGTGGTCGCCAGGCTGTGCCTTCTCCTGTGTAACTGAGACGTTCACCCTTCGGCCAGCGTCCCCCCAGCCCTGCCCTTGCTCCACGCTCTGGAAACCTGACTTCCGTGTGTTCAACCTTTTACCTTCCACACACAAGAGAGAAATGGTCGTTATCTTTTTATGGCTAGCTGCCTTGCTTAGCTTAATGTTCTCCATTTTCATCCATTTTGCTGCAAATGGCTAGTATCATTCTTCTTTATGGCTGGATAATAGTCCATTGTGGACTCATCCATCCATCCAGGATGGGCACCTGGTTGACCCCTTCTCCCAGCCATTGTAATCAGTGCTGGGATGAACACGCGTGCGGAGGTGTCTTAGACACGAGTCCCCGCATTTTGTGTATACACCGGAGTGGACTTGCTGGATCACATCGTGGCTATTCTAATAGCCATGGCTAATTTTTTGAGACATCAGTACCATTTTCCATGATGGCTGCACTGATTTACTTTCCCATGAGCAGGGCACAAGTCTCTCCTTTCTCCACATACTCCCCAACACTTGTCACCTCTAGTCTGTTTAACACGGGACACCTACAAACCTGGTGTAGCTCTGCAAAGACAGCTGTCACTTGCAGGACTTTCAGGCTTCCTCCCAGTCACACCAGCATTACAGAGACTGACCAGAGAAGGTGGACAGCCTGGACAGACACTAGGAGGTGAGCCAACTGGGGACACATGGCAGAGGAGCCATAGTGTCAGAAACACGTGTCCGTGGTGGCACGTGTATCCCAGATGACATGTGTCTGTGGTGACATGTGTGTCTCTGGTGACGCATGTACCCCAGATGACATGTGTGTCTGTGGTGACATGTGTGTCCCTGGTGACACTTGTGTCTGTGGTGGATTGTGCGTCTGTGGTGACATGTGTATCTGTAGTGACATGTGTGTCTTTGGTGGCCCATGCCTCCATGGTGGCACTGTGTCTGGGATGTTCTGAAAAGGCTTCCCAGAGAAGCCACACTGACTGACATGGGACCCAGATTAGTGAGCTCTCACTCTCCCAGAAGAGCAGCACTGATCGCCCGGGGATCTGTTCCTTCCTTTCTGGGCTGGGTGTCCTTAGACCCCAAAGCAGCTGCCCAGTCTCAACCTCTGTCCTTTCCGCCCAGTATTCCAAGTCCCCAAGCTCCCGGGCACATCTCCTCACAGGAGAAGGCAGGAAGTATGGAGCACCAGAGGTGCCCACACATAGAAGCTGGGGCCACGTGACAAACTGCAAATGCCCTGCTGACTAAGTGAAGGTGCCTTTGTCAGTATGGGTCACAGTTTCTTCCTTAATGACAATTTGCTGTTTGTTTAGCTTGTCTTAGAAAACTGCTTTAAGTGAGTTTTGAAGAAGAACAAAGACTTCATCCCCTCTCCAGAGTGGAAGAGGCAGCACATTCTCCCTGCAGCCGGGAGCCACCTTACAACAGGGCAAGTCCTTCCCAGCTGTCAGCAGCTCTGCTGTAGTGTCTGCCTCCCTCCTGTCCTCAAATCCATGACTGGTTGGTTCTTCTTTGTGGACCCCACCAAGTGACACCAGCTTTGTGCAGACAGAGAGCACATTCCCTCTGTCTCCAGTGTGGCTTGGCCTTCTGCTGTGACATAGGCCTGTCCTCATCATAGCTATCAGGGCACAGACATCTCATCGTTGTCCGTATGCTTTTGGTAGCATTTCCTGGATGATGGGGGGATGGTAAGCCTATTTCCTGTATCTTTAGGCCATTTGTGGGTCTTCCCTTGAGAAAAGACTGTTGCGTTCCTTTGCGCTGGGCTAGGAGCGTGGCTGAAAAGCAAGCACCTGCCTAGCAAGGGTGATGTCCTGAAGTCAAACCCCAGAACTCTGTTGAAAAGAAGTCAGGAGCAGGCCATCCCGATCTGCTTCCTGATCTCAGAGGAAGCTCAGCCTTTCACCACTGAGCATGATGTCGGCTGTGGGATTTTCATGTTAATTTGTTGCATTAGCCATAATTTGTTAAATTATGTCAAATATTTACCTACAGCTACTGAAATTGCCATACAGTTGTGTCCGTTCTCTTAATAAATTCTCAGGTTTGCTGTTTGCTTATGGGATCCTTGCATCCCAAGCCAATGCGGCTTGATCCCCACGAACACTCCTTTGAAGACACCATTGAATTTGCTTTGCAGTGTTCCACAGAGGATCTTTGCATCCGTGCTCAGCAGGGGTGTTGGCCTGTAATCTTTTCTTGTGGAATCTTTGTCTATCTTTGTAATGAGACAACAGGTAGTGGTGGTCTTGTGTCTTTGACTTTTGGGAAGAGTTCACAAGTTTTGGTGTTCTTTACATGTTTGGTGGATGCCAGCAGTGGTGGGATCAGGTCCTGGAATTTTCTTTCCTGAGAATCTCATGGCTGACTCAATCTCCTTACCCGTTATTGATCCATTAAGAATTTTTGTTTGCTCATGATTCAGTCCTTGTAGGACATGTTTTAGGAACTCTTCCATTTCTTCTAGATTACACAACTACTCGGTGTAAAATTGTCCTTCGGGTCTATGGTGTTCTCTGTTCCTGTGGTATCTATTGCAATGCCTCCCATTCATTTCTGAGTTTATTTCTCTCTGTCTCTCTCTCTCTCTCTCTCTCTCTCTCTCTCTCTCTCTCTCTCTCTCTTTCTTGGCCTATCTGAAGTTTTGTCCATTTTCTTTATCTTTTCAAAGAATCAACTTTTAATTGTTTGTCTTTTTCTGTTGTCTTTCTAGCTTCTTGTTTATTTCTGCTATTTTATTCTCTTCCTTCTACTGACTTTGGCTTTAGTTTGCTTTATTTTCTAGTTTTTTGAGATATAACATTAGTTTTTTATTTACTTTTGCAAGAAGTAGAAGGTGTAGGTGTTTATTATTTCTCTC